TTATTTGAAAGACAGAGTTATGGGGGTGGGGAGAGAGAGAGCCAGAACCGAAGCCAAGAGCCCGCAGCTTCTTCCAGGTCTCCTACGTGGGTGCAGGGGCCCAAGGACTTGGGCCATCTTTTACTGCTTTCCCAGACCATAGCAGAGAGCTAGATTGGAAGTAGAGCACCCAGGACTCGAACTGGTGCCCACATGGGATGCCAGCACTGCAGGCAGCAGCTTTACCCACTATGCCACAGCTTCAGCTCTCTGCGTTATTTTCAAAATAAGGTTTATTCATCATTTAAGAGAGAGCACTAGCCCCACAAATTAATCTTTTTTTTTTAAGGGAAAGGGTTTATTGGTGGGGGAAACCCAACAGACCAGAGGAAAGGGACAAAGAAGGAAAAGAGAGAAAGCAAGAGAGACAGGGAGGGAGAGAGCCATGTGTTCAGGAACAGGTCCTCATAAAACTTTGCCAGGGGGCGGGCAGGGAAGTAGGAGCAGCGAATCCCATTAGGATATGGGTGGAGCTGACACCTGTGGTTGGGTCATGTGGTCATGTGGCTTCCAGCAATGGTGGCAGGGGCTAGAGCCTAGAATGGCGTCCAAGGTGTAGATTGCTCCATAGATAAGACTACACCATTTTACTAACATTCCCCCCTTTTGTTTTTTATAAAGTAACAGTTGTATGGGATTACATTAGCTTCAAAAGTCCAGGAGGGGTAGAGGGCCGATGATCTGTCTTTAGAGCTACTTCCTGCTGACATGGGGTGATGAGGTATTCTCTGCTGGCATGGGATGATATCTCAAGCCGCTCCCACCAATTAATTTTTTTAATCCTGGTAGAATCTTTTAAAATGTCCCCTTAGTTGGCTTCCCCCCACCCAAAAACTTTTTTATTTAAGGAATACAAACTTCATGCTTTTCATAAATACAACTTTATGAATATAATGATTCTCCCCACTGTACCCACCCTCCCACTTACACTCCCACCCCTCTTCCTCCTCTCCTATTCTCATTCTTATTTTTTTACTAATATCTATTTTCAGTTAACTTTATACACATAGATTAACTCTGCTAAGTAAAGAGTTCAACAAATTGTATGAAAAAAAAAAAACTGTTCCTCAACAGTCAAGACAAAGGGCTGTTCAAAGTCATTGCTTATCAGAGTGTTAATTTCACTTCTATAGATTATGTTTTAGGTGCTCCGTTATCACAGATCAGGGAGAACATAGGGCATTTCTCCTTTTGGGACTGGCTTATTTCACTAAGTATGGTATTTTCCAGTTTCATCCATTTTGTTGCAAATGACAGAATTTCTTTTTTTTTTAAAGCTGTGTAGTGTTCCATGGTGTATATATCCCATAATTTCTTTACCCAGTCTTCACCTGATGGACATTTGGGTTGATTTCATTTCTTAGCTATTGTGAATTGAGCTGCAATAAACATGGGGTTACAGATAACTCTTTCATATGCTGACTTCATTTCCCTTGGGTGAATTCCCAGGGGTGGGATGGCTGGGTCATATGGTAGGTCTACATTCAGATTTCCCCTCAGTTGGCTTTGTCTCCAGCAACATTGTAGCACTGTAATGCAGAATTTAGTGATAAATGGAATTCACATTCAGGTAATACAGTTTAATCAGTAAATTCTTCATCTAACTGGGTCAATACCTGGGTTCCAAAAAGAAAAAGAACTAGATTTTACATAGTCTGTTCCTGGAGACCTAAGTGATCTCCCCTCACACCCATCTCCCAATCCATCTGAGCTGCCTTGTCATTCTTAAGCATACCCTGTTTCCTCTGTATTGGTATGTTGAAGCTCCACGATAATGCAGAGGGAAGAAAGAACCATATGAATAAAGGATTATGATATTATAGGGTAAAAGTCATATCATTACAGCATGTGCAGTGAGAAATATAAATCTAAAGGGTTGTGTTGCTGAACCAGCCAAGGTTGCCTGGTTTTGCTGCTACCTGGTGACAATTTCAGCCTCAAGGATACAATTTTTCCAAAAGGGCTATGTTCTTTTACCCTTTAATCATTAGGTAAGCCAGTTGAGGCCAAAGCTGGTTCCTGAATTTATCCTTTTATTGTGATGTGCACAAAGGCAGAATACACAAAAATAAAGCAAAAGGAAAATATTGAAGAGGTTGGCAGAAATAGGTAAAAGGAAATTACTCAAGCATGGAATGCTGGGAACAAAGTAAACTCCATGCATCCGTGGAGGCAATTTTCCAAATAGCACGGGAAGACTCACCCCCCCCCCCCAAGGTAATGCGCAGTGGTCCCAGATGCTGTCACGCTGTCAAGTCATCAGCCACAAAGTAAGGGGGTTTTGACTCCAGCAGAGCCTCCAATGTCCAGTTCCCTGTCAAAGTGAATGCTTGCATGGAATGGAGTCACAGTGAGCTGAAGGCCCTAGTATTTATTACCCCAGAAAGTGTGTGATCTTAACTTCCAGTTGTCAGCCTTGGAGAAAAAAGTACAGTTATCAGTGTAGCTGTCAGTCAGCCAGGGTGAAGTAGCAGGCCTCGTTGCTGTCAGCCAGCTGCTTGGCCAGTGACAGCTTGTGATATGAAGTTCAAAATGGAGTTGGTACTCTCAAGGCATGGTTGCATTAATCGTAATTAAAATACCAATAGACTTAGATTCACAAGGAGCAACACACACCACAATAGGGGCGAAGCTGTTAGGGAAATTTTCTCTGAGAAAATGACATTTGAGCCTAGTCTGAAAGCAAGGGTGGAGAACATCCAGCCCGCAGGCAGTGTGAGGCCCAGAAGGTCTTTGGGTCTGGTCCTGCCAAGGCAATCACAGGCGAGACTTGAGATTATTACTGTATCTCCTGTTGCTTTGTGCCTACTCCCTTGCTAAGCTAATTTATTTGGTTAGGGTAACATGGAGTTAGGTTGCAGTTTGAGACATCCAAAGTGTTTGATCCCCTCTCCCCAAAATTCTGTAAGATACCATGACTAGACACTGTGAACCTGATTTTGTTATGCTACTTCACAAATGGACAGACTTGAGCTCATCCATTCTTACTGCTGCAAGGGTTAAAGGTGACATCTATTCTGAGCACTGTACTAGATTACCATATGAGGGTGAAAGACACTGAATTTGTACACTTACCTTTCTTAATGGTTTGGATTTTAACTCTTTTTAGGCCTTTCATTTTCTCTGCCTAGATTATAGCCAAGCACACCAGACTTGAGATCGAGAGCTCTTTTTCTCTTGGGCTCTCAGTATGCTCTGAGCAATTGTTCTTATCGTGTGTGACCCACTGCAGTACCTCCACAATTGTGTGATTGTGCAACAGGGTCTTAGCCAGTATTACAATAGACCATTCTGTGGAATTTTACAAAGATGTCACTCTTGGCGCCTACACTGAGAGTCGTTTGTGCCTAACCCTACATTTTCCACTTATGAATCCTGTTCAGTTAGAAAGTGAACAGTGTCCCATTTTTAAAATGTGACTCGAAGTGGCAGATGGCAGACGTGCGTATTACCTGGGTGTCTCAAGCGCCTTTGTGCTTACTCATTCACATGGGCCCTCTAGTGAAGCAGGCTGAAGAAAGGTGTGGGAGGCCGGCAAGCCGCCTTGGGAAACCCATTGTTCATTTGGTGCAGTGCTGCCACCTGCTGCCTGGCTGCTGGAATGGGACCTGCGTAGTTCACAGTGGAGGTCGGCTGCACGGTTTCTAGGTAACAGCCTACCCCTAACTGAAGGACCTTATGGACTGTACAGCGTCACAGCAGTCCGTGTCAGGTGGCGTTCGGTTTTGTTGGTAACAAGTTTGCTCCAGCAGTATTGAGGCTTGGAGACTGGATCCACACGCCAAGGACTCACGGTCCTTACAGAGTGTCAGAGCTAGGAGGATCCTTAAAGCAGACATGGTAGAACTCGAGTGTAATTAAGTGAGTCACTGCAAATTCCTAGGCCCAACGTGGGACTGACTTCATAAGCTTGCCATTCTGAGGCAGGCAGTCTAGCATTGTATCAGAGAAGGACACTGCCCTAGTATTTTTTTAGGCAAGAATGTCTCAGCCATTTTTCTAATCAGTGCCTGATTTCAATTAATGAAATTAAATCTTCCATCAATGGGATGAGTCATCATTATGTAACTGTTTCTTTGCAGCGTACACACAAAATTTATTGTTGGGTTGTTTCTGTAGGGGAAAAAAATCCACTTTTCAGTTCTTTCCCAGGAAGGAGGTAGTGTGATTTATACTGGCCTTACTTTCCAGCCCTGGGCACTGGCAAGCTAAGGTGGGGTTTTTACAGTGAATATGACCAGCATTGCCGTGAACACAAGGGTACTTCAATAAGTTTGTGGAAGTGGAATTCAAAAGTAAGTTTACTTCGGTGCACAAAATTTTGAAGCCCACACACAGTTTGTAATATTCATTTTGTATGAGCTTTTTGAAGACCCCCACATATGATGATCATTTGGTGAATGTCTTGAAATTTCAGGGGGCCTAAAGTATCATAACACAGATTCTTCCCTTTGGAAGAGCCACGCACAGGAACACTGCAGCTCCCTGGATTGTAGTAGGTCTCAATACTTACTCTTCACCCTGTCTTGATCAACTTGGCCAGTGCACAAATAGTAAGCAGGAACCCCAGTGTTCCTCATTACACAGAAAACACAAGTGGCCTGGTAGCACATTGGAGAGCCCCCCTGAGAGCTGAACATTCTGGGTACCTGTCACGTGTTTGCTTCCTTGAGCTTTACTTTCCCAAAGATCTGAGTCCTTGCAGCCACTAAACTCAGGGGAGGTTGTGTTTTCTAAGTTTTCAAGTTGCTGGTGTTCCAACCCTTTCATGTAAATAATTTATGCACTTAATGTTTTGCACGGAAAGAATCAAAAGGCAGTTTTGTTTGTAGAGAAATCTTATTAATAAGCTTTCGGATCATCATTTTTATTACTCATAAATGTGCTTTGGTAGATCATGCTATTTTAAATTTGGTTTCTTTGTCATCTCATCTGTTGGGTGTTTTCGTTTTTGTTTTTAGGGCTACCTGAAGGAAATCTTGAAAGAAATTGGTATTCAGAATGTAAAAGGGATCCACAAAAACACATGGGAGCTGAAGCCAGAATACAGACACTATCAAGGAGAAGAAAAGAGTGACTAAGCGGACGCTGGGCAGGCTGGCTGGTGGAGCCCGTGCAGGGTGACACTGAGGCCGCAGCGATGATTCTGGAACACTGAGCGCCTGTGTCAGTAGCAGTAACATGGCTGGTACTTGGGTTTCTCTTGGTCAATTTTTCAAACCTCTATTTCTTATAAAGTTTCATAAATTTTTTTGAGAAGAAAGAAATTTATTTATAGACTTGTATCAAACCAGATTATCCATGACTAGGATAGGGTTGGGGATGAAAAGGATTTTTCTTTTTAAATGATTACTTTTACAATGTAAAATTAGGAATTTGTTTTCTAAATTAAGACTGTCCTTCTTCTATCTCTGAGGAACAGAAGTAATGCAGATTCGAAGAGAGGAAAGTCAGTTACTGAAACTATTAAGAAGAATAAAAAGCCAAAGTTCCATATTCCAAAATTGCTGGAGAACAACCTTTTTTTAAAAAAAGGGGGGGGTGGTGGTGGAATGACCGTGTTTCATACTCAAACACATATTAATAAAAGGAAAGCATTGAAGTTTGTAGTGAAATGTCAATTTTCATCCTTAGTTCATTGTACTCTACTGATATTGATATGAGAAATGGACAAAAACCTGCTCAGTTAAGATTTCTTGGAGCCAGCATTGTGGCATAGCAGGTAAAGCCGCCACCTGCAATGCAGGCATCACATATGGGCACCTGTTCAAGACCCAGCTGCTCCACTTCTAGTCCAACTCCCTGCTAATGGCAACCCACATAGGAGACCTGGAAGAAGCTCCTAGCTTCTGCCTGGCCCAGTGCTGGCCAATGCAGCCATCTGGGAAGTGAACCAGCTGATGAGAAGATCTGTCTCTCCTTCTCTGTTCTAAAACTTTAAAATAAATAAAGAAAATGTTCTTTTATTTGCCTTTTTTTTTTGAAAGGCAGAGTGGACAGTGAGAGAGAGAGAGAGAGAGGTCTTCCTTTACCGTTGGTTTGCCCTCCAATGGCTGCCGCGGCCGGCGCACCGCACTGATCCAAAGCTAGGAGCCAGGTGCTTCCCTGGTCTCCCATGCGGGTGCAGGGCCCAGGCACTTGGGCCATCCTCCACTGCACTCCCGGGCCACAGCAGGGAGCTGGCCTGGAAGAGGGGCAACCGGGACAGAATCCAGCGCCCCGACCGGGACTAGAACACAGTGTGCCGGCGCCACAGGTGGAGGATTAGCCTATTGAGCTGTGGCGCCAGCCATTATTTGCTTTTTAAATAATTAAAAATTGTATCAGGCCTTGGACACGGCAGTTAAGATGCTTTTGCTCCCAGAATTCTACAGCAGGCACATATGGGACAAATGGTGTGGATACTCTAAAGGAGGGTTGTGGGGTGGGACTGAGACCAACAAAGTTAATTTCACTTCCTGGGACATAAAAATGTTTCTTTTACTCTTCTCTTTAATTTTAAATAAAAGCAATGCGTGTACATGATTAAAGTTTTCCCTCACTTAGAATCCAAAATTATACACTCAAACAAGACCAGCAAAACAACGAAAAACTTATTAGCAAACTAAGCTCAGTGAAAGACTGTTTTTATACTTGTTCATTTTGTCAGCTCTTCTGGAGCGTGCAACCAAGAAGTAGCAAATGCCAAAAATGTAAGAAAATGTTATATAATTAAAACAAAACAAGAAAATATCTGTGGAGACAAATCATTTTCTGTATTATTTACTTCCAACAGCAGAACACCAGAATTCTGGTGCCACTGTTGAGTGCCACTGTGCTCAGAAAAATTGTCTTTGCATTCCCAGTATAAAACAAAATTCTGATACAGAAGTATTGCCGAGGCCACCTCAAGTTGTCTTATTCCACATTATTCTGATGCAAGAACATGTGATACACCCATTACCTCCCAGTTATAGATTGCCCCGGCTCAGTGTCTGGAGGCAGACCTGTGTCTTATGTGAAGCTGTGCTTTGGTATTTTTGTAAAGGTGGTTTCCTTTGCTTCTGTTAGTTATCTGTTACCTCATCACACCAGTTGTATGTGCTTGGGTCTCTTAAATATTTATTGTCTCTTCAGTAGAATAGTTAGTCTAGGTGATAGACTGGTGCCATTCCTGATTCATATTTGCGGTGCTCTCTTATTTAATATTAAACTTTGGCTTTTAATCCTGGAGGAAGAGCCCTTCCACCTGGGTTTCCTTATTCTTTTGTTTCAGGACTCTCTTGCTTTGATAAACATGCTTTTGTCATCCAAAAATTAAGAAGACCAAGAGTGCTCAGCCCTGTGGTTGCTATGAGATGAAGAGAGAAGGGGAAAGCTGATAAGGGAGATGCACATCTCTGGGGAGCTGTCCCGTCCTAAGAGGACAGGAAGGCCATATTTAATGGATGAGATTGTTAGACTCAGTGCGCACGGGTGTGTTTTAAATGTCCTAAGATTATGGTTGCTCGGCATTGGAAAGATCTGGAATTGTTGCCACAGTAACTTCTAGCGTGATATATCTAAAAGGTGAACAGATTCTTCTCTGTTGTGTTGTGAGTGGCTCTTACAGATTTCAGCAGAGTTGTGATTGTTTACGATGGTCTGTGAAAATTTTCCATAGGAATTGATTTTTATTGCTGGTGGTACATATCACTGAAATAATAGTAACCACTTATCAGCGCCTGTGTTCCTGGTAGAGTGTTAAATGCTCTAAAATGTCTCATTGAATCCTCAGAAAATGCAGAGAGGTAGGAAACGTTCGTTTTATGGAGCTGTTTCCTGGCCACCATACATCATGAGTGCTGGCCCTGACCTCAGGAGACGTCTCCCCATGGGACCGAATCAGAGTGTCCTCTACCAGAATTCTGCTGGCCCCTACCCCCAGTCCAACTTGCAAACCAGGAAAATGGAGCTGACCCCAGGCAGAGTTGTGAATAGTGGGCATTTGTCTTTAGCATCTCTCCTGGGGTGCAGATTCCCAGCCCCCTCCCACAGGATGAAGAGGACACTTCCACCTTGAAAGTCACCTTCCCTGCCTGGGTTTGTATCGTCTTCAGCTTCGGGTGCCCGGATGGAGGGTGCAGCTCAAGAGTGGGCTCCACGATGGAGCCCTCCTGAGTCAGACCTGCCTTCTCAGCACGCTGCCTGATTGCCAGAGTGCTCCCCTCGAAACACGAGACAACACGCTGCCCACTGCTTCCTTTTTCAGTCCATTTTCTTTCTGACGTGAGTCCAGAGCAGGTTGCTAAGCCCAGTGCCATTTTCATATGGTCTAAAGTAGGGATCGAAGGTCATGTTTGACCCTCACCTTTCCCCCCAACATATCCCCATCCTTTTTTCCTCCTGTGTTCTTTCTTTTGAGCAGGTACCACCATCTTATTTATTTATTTATTTGAGACACGGAGTTACGGGGCGGGGGGGGGGGGGTGTCTTCCATCCACTGGTTCACTCCCTAAATGGCTGTAACGGCCAGAGCCAAAGCCAGGAGGCTCCCTTGGATCTCCCACATGGGTACAGGGGGCAAAGCACTTGGAACATGTTCCACTGCTTTCCCAGGTGCACCAGCAGAGAGCCAGATTGGAAGTGGAGCAGCCAGGATCCGAACCAGTGCCCACATGGGATGCCAGCACCATGGGTAAAAGACTAACCTACTACACCACAACACCGGCCCATTTAATAGTTTCTTTTAAGAAAATCTTATCGCATTGTGTTAGAAGCCATGTAAATTAAAAAGGATTTTTCATATTCTTTGGCTTCCAGTTTAAACTGACTTCTGTTGAGTCATTTAAGGCTTTCAAGAATTTTCATGAAGTATACCTGTAAAGTGTTGGGAATTTGTATTTAAATCACCTTGAGGTTTTTTTTTTTTAATTATGTTATAGAAATATAAATTGACCAGAAGAATATGTTGTTGGACTAAAAACTATGATCTGGTGTGGTCATGAAGCAACAGCCGGTGTTGACTTCATTGGCAAATATTTACTAAGCATGAATATGCCCCAGGCACTAGGGATATGAAAGTGCTAGGCAGAAGAGCTGTTCATAGTCTAGCAGGAAACGGGAATGTGACCGGGTACCATGCTGTGTGGGGACAGACGTGTGAACAGAGTATCCCAGCGAATTCATCGTCACTTATGCTCTACATGGGTTTCCCGTTTCTAAAGCATTTGAATGCAGTACTGTACACTCAGTGTTAAAACTTCATTGAATACAATTTAATCACTGACAGTTCCTGAAACACAAAAGGGTTTAGACAATGCCTCAGACTGATTATTATGAACACACGGTGGATGTCTGTACTGCGACAATCTCATTAATAGAATACTAAATTAGAGTTTACTGCGCTAGTCCTCTTGACATTTAAGCCTTACTTCTGATTACCATTCCAGTGGCTCTCCTTCAACAAAAGCGTATGAGCCTCTTTGCCACTCATTCATTCATTCAGTGAAAGCTGTTGATGCCCAGAGGTGAAGGTGACGGGTATTTGGGATTCTGCGCCTTACAGACTTCCGGTTCTCTGCCGATGACATTGCTTGACAGGCAGGAAGAATAAAAGCTCGTGTTCATTGGACCCATAGTGTGTACCAGCCACTTGGCTAAGCATTTGACTCATAGAGGTCGTTTAATTCCCAGAAGAACCCTATAATATTTGGTTTCTTTGATGATGCTTGCTTTAAAGTTGTGCATCCTGAGGTGTTCTGAGAGGTTGCAGCACCTGCCTGGGGTCACACAGTAGCCTGAAGAGTGGGATTCAGACGCGCTGCGGGAGGCAGGTGCATCTCACAGGGGTGCGTCCATAACGAGTGCTCCAGCACCCACTGCCCACGGCTGTGATTCAGCTGCCCGGACTCCGTCGCTGTGCATCTCCTCACCGACTCACGAGGAGCCAAGTCTCAAGTGTGAACCTTTCCTCGGCCAAAAACGGGGGCTGCTCCTGGATGCTCTCTCTTGTTTTGCCTTTAGAGTTTTGGTTTCCAACTCTTAACTCTGTGGAGTTTCTTAGTTGTGGCATGATGTTCCTCTTGTCCTGGGTTCAGATAAGGAGCTGTTTCCTAGAACTGACTGCAAATGCCTGCTGTCTTTCTTTTACTTGCATCCTAGACCACCCAGTGACTCTTCAGTGCCAGGTTCATGAGATCAGCTGGCTCAGCTGATCGCAGTTGGGGACTTCTGCCATGACCCAATGCCAGAGGCTTGAGATACCCCTTCAAGTAATGGGGATACAAAGATGAAAAATAAGAGAGCCTCACAATAAATGGCAATATAGTTTTTTTTTAAATATATTTATTTATTTTATTTGAAAGGCAGAATTAGAGATATCTTCCATCACTCCCCAAATGGCTGCAATGGCTGGAGTTGGGTCAGACCGAAGCAAGGAACCAGGACCTTCTTCCAAGTCTCCTACGTAGGTACAGGGGTCCAAGCACTTGGGCCATCTTCTGGTGCTTTTCCAGGTGCAACAGAATGGAGCTAGATCAGAAGTGGAGCAGCCGGGACTCGAACCAGCGCCCGTATGGGATGCTGGTGCTACAGGCTGGCGCTTTAACTTGCTACACCACAGCACTGGCCCCAACATAAGTTATTAAGTGCAGCAATAAAAATATATGGCAGAGTGTTTTAAAAGCTACCAGGATTCACAGCCTTTGAGTTAGAACAAGTAGCTTACCTCCGCTGTCTTGCTTTTGTTGTCTGCAAAGTGGAATGTTGGGAGCTCTCTGCCTTGTAAAACTGTAATGGAGGTTAGACTAGGTGATCTATGTAAAGTTCATGGAACACTGTGTGATGCATAGAAAGTACCTTATCAGTGTTAGCTGTTACCCTATATAACATACGTAAAATGTGGAGGGAGCACAGAGAATGAGTTGTCCCATCTTTGAGGAATCGGGAAAGCTTCTTAGAGGAGTTGGTATCTAAATAGGATTTGGAAGGAGTCTAGGAGTTAAACGAGAGTTAGGGAGCAAGAGGTAGAGAAAGAACAAGTGCAAGGACTTTGCAGCAACCTCACTTCACGGGATGGCTGCAGTGAGAGCTTGCACACACTCGGTGTACTTGCTCATACAGGACGTGGCCAGGCGAGGTGAGTCGGAGCTCTGTCTGATGGAAGAACCTGGGGTCCAGTAATCTCACATTGGACCTAAGAGGAATGGTTGAAGAGGTAGGCAGGACTGACTCACTTCAGCTGCCCGCACAGATTCAAACTGATACGAACAGCTCAATACTCTTCCCTTTTGATTCATCCCTGAATACCTTTAAATATATATATATATATGGCCCAATTAGAGTTGCAGTGAAACTCAACCTTAGAGCTAACTGTATATTAGAAGTTTGAGGTCCCAGTCACTTACCCCTCCGCCACTGCAAGGTCTAATCAATAAAGATAAACAGCAGGGACTAACTCTGCTCACACAGTTTGCTAGGAGCCCCGTTGACTCCTAGCTGAACTGGAGAAGCCAAGAGAGCTCCGCATCCTCTTCCTCAATAGCAGTGACTGGTCCAGCTCTCTGCTGTGGCCCGGGAGTGCAGTGGAGGATGGCCCAGGTGCTTGGGCCCTGCACCTGCATAGGAGACCAGGAGAAGCACCTGGCTCCTGGCTTCGGATCGGCGCAGTGCACCTGCCATAGCTGCCATTTTGGGGGTAAACCAACAGAAGGAAGACCTTTCTCTCTGTCTCTCTCTCTTACTAACTCTGCCTGTCAAAAAAATAAATAAAT